CAAATGTGAGGACAATAAACTGCCTCCGGTTGGGGAAAGGGTTGCTGTCGGGCTGGGGCACAGAAGAGGCAGAGACCCTGTGTTGAAAACAGTCTCTTCCTCCCAGTTTTGTCCAGGCCCAGCTTGATAAGAGGTCATCATTTTTACACATTTATTTAACATGTGTTGTGCTCAACACCACGCCAGCCACTGTGTGTGAGCGGGTGGGGGGCGGGGGAGGGAAGAATCTGAAGAATGATAAGCCACGTCCCCCATGTGCTTACAGTCTTCTAGGAAGATGGCACATGCTCCCGTGAAAACCTAACAGCCATAGGGAAGGCGTGGTTAAGGGAGATTTGGTTTAGACACAGCAGAAAGTGCATAAGATGGAATTTGATTTGTTTCATGCATCAGATATTTGTTGAGCACATTCCATGTGCTGGGCACTGTAGTGCTTGCTGGGCATTCGGTGGGGAACAGGACAGAGGGTGCCTGTCCCCATCCATCAGACAGACCATGTAAACCCACAAACATGATCATTCCCAGGACCGGTACAGACAAAGAAGAATATAAAACAGTGCCATAGACCGAGTGGGGGATTGTGACTGAGGAGGACTGAGAATGGGGGGCATGGTGGGTGTCTTGGAGGAGACAGGATTTGAGGATGAGCCAGCCTGGCTGAGATAGAGGGGCAGAGGGGAGCAAGAGCGAGGCTGGTGCCTTCCCGGGACAGACAGAGGACGGCAGGGTGGCAGGCTCCAGGACAGGCCTGGCACAGAGGTGGCAGGGCCCGGGGTGGAGTGTGGATTTTACTCTGTAATGGAGGGGCTGGAGCAGAGGAATGAAGTGATTTCGGTTACCGAGAATGACTGTAGCGGGGCCTCAGTGGACCTGGGAAATCAGCTCGGAGGCCGTTATAGCAGCTCACCTCACTGAGAGGCGGTGGGGCTTGCTTGGTGGGGGCTTGCTTGCAGGAGTCGGGCTGGGTGCTGGTTGCATCCAGTGTGCGTTGGGAGGAGGAGGGGGAAAATTGAGCCAGTGAGCAGTTGGAATGAGCTCACGGAGGGGCTTCAGGTCCTCAGCATGGACATATCTGATAGGCACTAGGACCCGTGGCCGTGGACCTTCCCATCTGGTCTGGAGTGAAGATCAGTTTGGCAGCAGGCTGGGAGGAAATCAGTCCGATAGTTCATGTCCTGAGTAAGAAGAGTCTAAACCGGGGAGTGGCCATGAGCGTGGAGAAGAAATAGACATTTGAGGGTTTCAGGGGACAAAAATCCCAGGCTCAGCAACTAACCAGGCATGTCAAGAAAAGGAAGAGTCAGAAACATCTTAGAGGTTCCTGGGAAGGCGGCAGGTCTGTCAGTTCCAGGATGGTGGCAGGGCATGTCCCGTTAGAACTGAGAAGGCGGGAGGGAGCCACTTCAGAGAAGTTGGCCTGTTGAGTGCAGTGGGGGCGAGAGGAGGGAGCAGGAGCACTCCAGGGGGTCAGCAGAGAATCAGACAAGGGCCATGGTCTGCGGCTTGGCCTCCCTGGCGTCTTTAGGCACGTGCTCTGGTGTGTCTGCTGCTTTCCACGTTGGCTTCTCCCTCCATCTTACACATCTTTATTCCCACAGTAAGCACACAACAGGCATCCAGTAACTGTGCTTTGGATGAATGAGTATTTGCACAACCAAGGACAGGGTGTGTGTTACACTAGAGCAAAGTTAGAGGTCAAAGTCAATGAAGATGGAGAAATGGCCACTAGGTGTGATGACCAGGAGGTTGGCCCTGGTGATCTTCAGTAGGGGCTAATTCTGGGATGGGGTCCAGGGCTCAAATTGCTATGGACTGATATTTCTCACTTCTGGGAAAATGGCCACACTGCCCAGGCCCATCCTGTGCCTCCTCCAGCACAGGGGTGTGAGCAGCAGAGCCTTGGTAACTGCATTTTGCACATTCCGTAGGAACTGTCTTGACCAAAAAGATGTTGGGCTTTCTCCACCGATTTCATACCCTCCTGTGCCTTTGGTTAATTACATCACAGGGCATTGCCATCCCTTCAGTCCCCTTGGTGTCCCATGTACCCTGGCTTAGCTAGAGGCACAGGTCCCTGACCAGCAGATGCTAACCAGAAACTTTTAAGGCCTGCTTTGAAAGCTCAGACAGGGGCAATGGAAATTGCTAATGTATGTAGAAAAGTAACTAAGGATCACCAGGATAACATGGGAAGGTTTTAGAGTTTATTGTTTGGAGTTTCCTTGGGTTTGGTCATCTTGTTCTCTTGGAACACCAAGCCTCATAAAGACAATTATTAAAACTCATCTAATATGAAGAATTGATGACTTTCATCAGATCCTGTGGTAGCTTCCCTTGCAGAAAAAAATCCCAGTCCCTGCCAAGAACATTACATGTTGCTTGCACTGACTGTAACAAAGAAAGAAAATGCCCCGTCGGCAGGTCAGTCTGGCTGTTATCCTTCAGCCCTCAGATTTGCTGTTTAGACACAGACGTGCCTGCATGCCTGACCCCAGATGCAAGTGGTGCCTGACATAATAGCAAGCAGAGTGGGCAGAGCACATGGACCTGTCCCAGCCAGGATGACCTGCAGAATTAACTTAAAGGGCAACCCTGCATACCTTCCTGTTTGCAGCTGACATGAAAAGCACCCCTCACTGGGGCTGGGGAAGCTGTCTTAGACCAAGTGGGATCTAGAAGCTGTTTGATCAGGAAACTCAAACTGAGGTGCAGGACAGGGAACCAGGCATGAAGTCAGAGATCCACTATTACCAAGCAAGCAAGGGTGGGTTAAAAAAATAACAGGAAGCCAGAGTAGGGAGGGTCTAGAGCTGAGAGCACCCAAGAGGAATGGGGGAGCCTCATGGGGGCAGGAATAGGGGACATGAAAGAGGCCAGGGTGTGGGGCTGGCTCTGTCGTGCTGACTTGTGGCTGTACTGGAACGTCTGGAGACCATGACATTGGAGCTCTGCCATGGAATACAGCCACACACACGTGGCATCATAAGTGTGGTCGGGGGGCCTTTTCTGAGCACGCTGCGTGAGCAGACTGTTCTCTTTTTTTTTTTTTTTTTTTTCCTTTTTGTCTTTACTGACCGGTAACGGGATTGCAACCCTCGGTGTTGCGCCCGCACCGCGCTCAGCCAGTGAGCGGGAACCGGTCTCCACATGGGATCCGAACCCTTGGCGGGAGCGCCGCCACACTCCCAAGCGGCGCACTCTCCAGTGCGCCACCAGGCCGGCCCTGAGCAGACTGTTCTGATCTCGGCTGCTCTGTGTTCTCAGCCCCTGTAATATGGAGCAACTTTCCAGCAACCAGCCAGCAGTCCAGATCAAGAAGCCAGAGGCCCCGCAATGTGCTGCAGGTTCAAGGTGCCCCTTCACAGCCAGTTTCCCTCCAGGTCACTCTTGGGGGGTCTGCCCTGGCAGAAGGTTGCAGTTGATGGCCAGTTAGTGTCTTGTGTCACCTAAATCTCAGCTGCCATTAAGTTCACTCACTCTTCTCCATTTGCTCCTTGCTTGGCCTCTTAACACATTTGTTCTTCCTTTTTGAAATACTTTGACTTCCTTTGAAATTTTCATAGTGGTCATTTTTAGACGAAACTTGCTCAGCTCTTAGCCTATCTTAAAGTCATTCCTGAAATATATCCAGTTATGCTATCATTTTTGGACAATAGTAGTTTCCCATTAATTCTTTTTCAAACAAAAAATGATCTGAGGATGAGACTTTAGGACTATTAAATATGAAGACCACTCATCTATTCCCTGGAATAGTACACCCAGTGCAGTGGTTCCCACAGTGTGGTCCCAGCCAGCAGCATCAAAGTCACCTGGGAACTTGTTGGAAATGCACATTCTCAGGCCCTCCCAGACCTACAGGATCAGAAAGTCTGGGGCTTGGGATCCAGCAGTTTGTGTTTTAACAGCCCTCCTGGTGAGGCTGCTGCACACTCAAAGAACCTCTGTCATAATGAAGCAGAGATTCTGATTCCGCTGGGGAGCCGGGGGCTGGCATCCACCTCCACATTCAGCCAGCTCTGCCCGCAGGTGAGAGTGCAGGGAGGGGGGCGACACTTTGCTTGTTGCCATCCAGGCATCACAGGAAAGAGCTAAGTCCCCTCCACCTGGGTTATTTGGGACCCAGACTTCTGGCTAAAATCCTTTATGGTGTAGCACCAATACCTAATCTGGGGTGCAGGACAGTGGGGAAAACCCAGTTCTGTTTCTGGAAGTATTTGCTTTAGGGGAGAAAAATGAAGAAGGAGGGGCATTTAAGGAATTTAACGAGTAAATAAATACCCAGTGTTTACCATAATGTAAACTTAGGTTATTTTGCACAATACAAACTTTTTGTGTCTTGTTTTTTCTTTAAAAAAAAAAAAAAAAGTTCAAAACCTCTTTCTGCTTTTCGTGAAACTTGGGCTGTGCTTCCCAGTCCCAGCTAGGGAGAGGCCGCCTCTCCTCTGCTCTCAGACATGCCTTGTTGGGAAGGTTTACGAGACGGGGTCTCTCCGTGGACTAGGTCTCCATGGATGGGAATGAGGGGCCCATCCCCAGCCCTGCCTGAATGAGCTCCAGGCTTCCCTACTGCAACAGAAAAGTCTGTGGTTTCTACTGTAGGTTCTGAGACTGTTCACTGCTCCAGCCAGGGTGCAGGTGACCCATGCAGCCCCAAGGGGAACACTAACCATGTGAAATTGTGGCCTCTGCCTCAGGTGACTTCCTGAGGCACTTTTGCCTTTATGGACTCCCTCCTCCAGAACAATACCACAATATATGTTTGATGACTGTGTATTTGTGTGGATATAAAGACAAGTATAATCCAGACTGGATTCTATTCATTTTTTTCTTCTCTGATTTTAAAAGGAATTAAAACATTTTCTTAGGCCTTTGAAAGTATTGGGGTACCAGGCACTGTGCCTGCAGGGCCTCATGGAGAAGTCAGTCCGCCCTGCAGGGGTATCCTCTGTAAAACCCTCAGAGTCTTAAACACAGAATAACCCAGCCCTGTGGTTCTCCAGAAAATCGGCTGTGATGGTATCATCGGGTCTGCGGCCAAAGAAGACCGGTGCGGGGTCTGCAACGGGGATGGCAAGACCTGCCGCGTGGTGAAGGGTGACTTCAGCCACTCCCGGGGGACGGGTGAGTGCCATGCCCCAGGGCTGCCGCAGCTACAGAACAGCCAACACGTGCTGTGTACTTTGTTTCCTTTGCCCAAAAGCGAATGATTGCATGTCTTCCCTGCATTTGGTATTTAAGGGCCAGATGATAACGGATAGGTGATCTGCTGCTTCAGTTACCTTTCTCAAAGGCAAGACCCTTGAAGTGAATGGTTTTCCTGTGAAAGGAAAGCTCAGGGGCTCAGCCCCGAGGCCCTTGTACCAGTAGTAGCTTCCCAGCCCCAAGGAGCCCCAGGCTTCCCTGCAGTTCCCATCAGCCCATCTGTTGATGTGCAGACAGAGAAGGAGGCAGAAACACTTTACCAAATCACTTTGGCCTGTTGATGGAAGAGGTTTCCTTGTTTCTGAATGTTCTGTCAGTAAAAGTAGTATAGCATTTACATGCATCTCGAAAACATGCATGAAGCCATACAGTCCAGAAAGTCAGAGCCTCTGCCAACTGTAACTTTGGAGTAACTGAGTCTCCAGGTTCCCAGACCTAGACATGCCCCAGCACCATCCTTATTGAGGTGACGTCAGCGTTCAGGTGACTGGCCTTCATCTTTCTGCTTGCACCATCTCTGTAGCCTTAGGCTGCTTTGTCCAGAGGTGGGAGATGACTTTCCGATCTTCAGTCTTGGAGAACACCAGGTTATGATGCCCAGGGAAGCATCTGTGGTTGACACTTAATGAGGGGAGCGGGAGGCAGGCAAACCACACCTGGATGGTGAACTCTTGAAGCTGGTGAGTGTCCACTCGCCCAGCATCACCAAGAATGACATCTGCAAGAGTGACATCTCCAGGAGAACTCTTGTTGTTTGGAATTGAGCTGAAAACTTCTATTTTAGTTTCTACAAATTGCTTTGCACAGAAGCTTTTCAGTTGAGTTCCACCCAATAAGAGAGAACCACAATGACAATGCCCTGTCCCACGGAGCAGCCCATGGGATAAGGCAGAGAGAAATCTGTGCATGTTCCACCTTTTCTCTGTGTAGATAGAAAACCTGATCTAGAGGAGATGTTCCTTCTGGATACCTGTGGAAAGAGAAACCTATTCCACAAACATTTTGCAGGATCTTGTGAAAGCAAAACCAGAGGTAAATGCAAATGCAAAATTAGATTTAAAAAGTAAATTTCAGGACCAGTAAGACCTGGTTTTAGGATTTCAAAGACAAGTGCCTAATCAGTGAAACAGGAAGTTTGTGTGAGAACCTGTGCCTGCTGCATGGCTCCTGACAGAAACAGAAGGTGAAGCTGGAGCAAATCGGTTGGGGGTGGAGGGATTGCCCTCCAGAGCTGCACTGTCCAGTACAGTAGCCATGGGCCATTTGAGTCTATTTAAATTTATATTATGGGGCCGGCCCGGTGGCGCACTGGATAGTGCGCCGCTTGGGAAGCGCGGCGGCGCTCCCGTCCGAGGGTTCGGATCCCACATATAGACCGGTTCCCGCTCACTGGCTGAGCGAGGCGCGGGAGCAACACCGAGGCTTGCAATCCCGTTGCCGGTCCCCGGTCCGGTACGGGGGCAACACTGAGGGTTGCGATCCGTTGCCGGACACGGAAAAAAGATAAAGAAGATAAATTTATATTATAATTAATTAGAATGAAACTAACTTAAAGATGCACCCTTCAGTCCCACCAGCCACGTTTAAAGTGCCCCATTGCCACATGCAGCAGATAGAGAACGTTCCTGTCATTGCGGAAGGTCCTCTTGGACTTAGAGTCTCTGGAACTTGGATAATTTGTGCTATTTGTTCCAACATGTTCGATGCCACTTTCTGTATTGGTCCTGCAGCTGCCCGTTCCCATGAGACTTTGACCTGCCTGCTGCAGCTGCACCATCAGTTAGGAACAAAGCCCCTGCAGCTGGCGAGGGGTTGCTGTTTACTGTTGATTTTTCTTTTTAATGGAAGCGTTAGAACCCTTTATCTAAATTGAATGTTGTGCCAAGCTCTGATAAACAGAACTGACTACAGTTGCGCCATTCTGTGGGGGGCAGGCCAAGCTAGCCGTGTCCACCCCTGCCCCCTGGGCAGTTCTCTAAAACTCTAAGGAAGCCTCCGCCACTCACCTTTGAAAGCCTCCACTGTATGCAACATAGCAGCTCACTTACAAGGCAACCCACATTAGGGCAAAAGTGTTCCCCCTTTTTCCAGACTCTGATCTGTATTCTGGCCTTGGGTTTTGGCACGGGCCAGTCTGTTTATCCACCCATGATAATGTCCTTTTCTCCTTTCCTCCCCTTTCCCCATCCACCCTGTGCTGGGCCCCATCTGTGTGTGGAATGTGCAGCCTTCCCCTGGTGAAGTTGGGCCTGTGTGACTGTAGCTGTGGGTCCTCATGGAAGGACAGACTGCATTGGAAGCCCCCTTGGGGTACCTGTTCCCACCCTGGCTTGCAGTTTAGTAAGCCTCCTTCCAGCTGCTGAGCCACAAAAGCCTTAGCAAAGCTTCAGAAAAAGATAAGCACACCTTAGTGTCACCCACCTGTAAATGTTCTGTCATTCTGCATGGTTACCAAATGTCACACGTTTATTTTAAAGTACAAAGCTGTTTCTATCAAATTGTCACAGTTGGAGTCTGTGAGTATAAGTTTACATCAGTATGGATTCTGTTTAGTGAACGTCTGTGTCCAGTGCTCACACACACTACATTAGGCAGCTGCCCATCTAACATAGTTTCATTAAACACAAACCCATAACCATGGTCTGATGTTCTGGAATGCACATGGACAGAGATACTGGTACCCACAGGTCCATTCACCCAATTAACATTTATTCAGCACGACTACATTTTAACCACTAAATATACAGAAATAAAAGTTGTCACTGCCTTGGTCACAGTCAAGGGAGGGGACCTCTGGGCAGACAGTGGGGAGTCAGCTCAGTGGGGGTGCTGTGGGGCATTTTGCCCAGGCCTGCTGGCAGATGAGGGTGGTCCTAGTTCTAAAGAACAGTAAAAATTCACTGACAACAGGGATGGGGGAAAGACATTTCAGGTTGAAGGAAAAACGCATATTCTTATGAGACCCAGCCCCCAGGTCATTTAACATCTTGGTGACTCCAGTTGCAGCTAGGTGGATTTGCTAATCCTGTCAGTTTAGATAAAAAGGTAACTTTCATCTCTGCTGGCTCTAGAGAATGAAGAAAGGAGGAATGTCTTATCACCCTAAGGGTGAATATCAAAGAGAAATACCATGCCAGAAAGATAAAACAGAATCAAATGCAAGATTTCTGCCCACTTATGTGAAGTCCTGACCCCTGCTTGAACTCTTCTGGGTTCCCCTACCTAAATTCTTAAGCTGAGAAGCCATGGCAGACCCACACAGACACAGGGTGAAGCATCCCAGCCCCAGCGGAGCAAGAAGCTGGGATTTCCCCGTGTCATGAGAGTCCCAGCACAGCGCCAGGGTAATGGCATTCCGAATGCAGGGTGTTCATTGCCCTCCAACTTTGAACAAACGAGGTCCTCAGCTACTCCTCTGTATGAGGAATCAACTTGAATGGTCTGTCACACTGCTCTTCTGATAGATGGGCTTCGAAATGCTCACACCTTTGGTTGGGTTGAGATAGCTGAGTTATTTGAACTTAGTAATTTGAAAGTTCTTGGTGTGGTGCTTTCACTTCATGTATTGTCATTTTAACATTATTTTCTTTAGCCCATCCTGCTCTTCAGATCTAGAAAGGTGACTGGTGCCCATGGACAGCCAGAGCACACCTGGACTGAAGTCCCCATCAAACCAACCAGGATGCCCCACGGATTCTCAATCCCTTTACACTTTGTTCTTGAAGAGAACCTTTTCTAACAATCAGTTCTTAAAGGATAGCATGAGTTGTTCCTTTTGAATGTGGATAGATCCACGTGTCACATATTTATCCAGTAGTTACCTTTAGATCCCGTACCACGTGCCAGGTTCTGTGCTCTGTCTGTAGGAGTGGGGTATGGATGTCCCAGGGGGAAATTAACTCTCTTGTGAGGAGGACACATAAAGAGGCATCTTTACACTGTGATTAAGAATGACAATATCAGTTCCTAAAGTGTGCATGTAAACCAATTACAACATATTTCTTTTTCTCAGTCAAGAACAATCTTTGTGTGAAGGTGTCCACATGTGTGATGGCAAAGGCTATTCCCAAGTGTTTCTCATGTAAGATGTTTGGACGTTATGTGTAGTCCTTGCGATGACGTGCTTGGTGTGGGGCCCTTGCCTCGCTTCTGTGCCTGGATGTTTTCTGAATAGAATCAATGGGAATTGGTCATGCCTGAAGCCATAGGTAAACATAAAGGCCATTTACTGCTTACATATAGCTGATGCTCAAAACCAATTGCCCAAAAGAAAAAGTATAGAACAAAACCAGTCTTAAAGAGTCATCAGACCAAGAGGCTGGGTGGAAACATGCTCTACTGGTGCCAAGTATATGTTTTTATTCTTTTCAATGACACCTGGCACTTTGACAGAATATGCTAAGACATGCCAGAGAATTTAGCCTCAGATGGCACCTTCCTCCATGGGCAAGTTTCCGTATTACAGGACTAGATTTCCATACAGCAGCTGGGGACTTGGAAACACCCCTCTGGTCTTCATGCTGGACATAAAGGCCCTGGCCTTAATTTGTCCTATCTTCACTGACCTCGCATTCTGAGGGGTGAACTAAAGCATAGTCTAGCTCCTTGGGCTTCCCAAGCAATGAGTTCTTTTCAGTTCAACCCAGAAACAACCTTTAGGGACAAACATAAGATAATAATAATCTCATTAACAACTTTTGTAAAAAGATAAAAATAAAACCTCACACACAGACTGGCCAGTTAGCTCAGTTGGTTAGAGCCTGGTGCTGATAATAGCAAGGTCCGGGGTTCAGTCCCTGTACTGGCCAGCTGTCAAAAAAAAAAAACCTTTTCAAACATTTTATGGTTTATTTACCAAAAAAAGAACTTTGGTTTGACATACATGCACACACACACACAAACGCACACATACATATATA